CAAGACCTATTTGCATCCATATCAGGTTTTGATAAGGCAAATGCAACAATTTCGAATTCAAAATTCATACACTTCATATAAGGAATTTCAGCAGAAAACATATCCAGAAGCATATTAAGAATCACTATATCAATACTCAACAGAAACCCACATGATACGAACTGAAAAATAGAAAAGACTATCATACCTCAACCATTAGAGAAAACCACAATTTCACATCTCAAAACACTAGCATACCTCAACCATTAGCAACACTAAACAAACCTCAACAAAAACTCCAACAGCTTGTTAGTCAGAAAGAGAAAATCAACTCCCTTTCGCAAAGCCCAAAACACTATTAATGAAAATCATATTTTGTCAAACACTCAAAATCCTATATCAGCACCACTCAAATTCCCATATAGAAACACCACAATTAAGCAATTAAAGCATAACACTCCATACGCATGTATACATATATAAACATATATATATATATATATAGAGAGAGAGAGAGAGAGAGAGAGAGAGAGAGAGAGAGAGAGAGAGAGAGAGAGAGAGAGAGAGAGAGAGAGAGAGGGAGGGGGAGAGAGGACTGTAGCGAAAAATGGAGCCCATGAATGCCCCACCAGCGGAGTCTCCGCCAAACTTGAGAAGGCAGACAGCAGGGCCATTGTAGGAGGCGGGAAGGGTTTGAAGAAGTAGGGTTAGGGTTAAGGTTTGGATTGGTAATGAGCTTAGTGTCGGTGTCCGGGTCAGACTTTGGAGAATCCACCGACGTCATCGCCATGGCCGTTACTCTCTCTGTTTTCTATGAAGTCATGGCTGAGCAAGATTTTGGAGAGTGCGAGAGAGGAGAGGAGTTGGGTTTCAGAAAATGAATTTTTGAGGGGATAAAGGGTCAATACAAATGTATTTATATGGAGGGCAATTGGGTACTTTCATGTTACAAAGTGAGTATTTCTGATTGAAATTTATAAAGTGAATATATTTGATTATGGTTTATGTTTTGTGATTATCCAAGTCAATTTCCCTATTTCTTTTCCTATGTCCCCTACAATGCTTTCATTATCTCTATTGTGTTTTTCTGAATTATTTTTGGGTTTGTGCTAAAATAAACATTTTCAAAACATTTGTTCAATAATAGCCCCTTCCTCCTCTTTGTTATCCCTATTAGTGCATCTTTATTGTCCTTATAGTGCCTCTTTATTACAAGGGTGACTAAAAGTTTTAAATTAATTTTTTGCATACATGTAACGTGTTAAATTGTGATTGACAAAAAAATAAGCGCTCCTAATTCCAAAAAGGAGGCAAATATTTTCTTTCTCTTTGTCATTTATTCCTACAACTTTCCGAATTGATTATTTTCAGTGTGTTGGTTTTTTTTTTGGTCTGCAGATAGTCAATTTTGCATCTTGTTTTTGGTTGTTGTGATTATTTTGGTGGTCTGCTGAACTTATTGTCTACAGAAGACGTTTCCTTTACATTGATCTTTAGTTTGTTTTTTTGCTGGGTATTTTTCCTCCGTCTTTATTCTCTTTTGCTTAATACATTTTCAATTACCAAAAGACAAATTACAAATTTAGTTATATACCAAATCTTAGATATAGTCTTATAAAGAAACTCTATATCGTTTAAAAACTATAAACACACCCAAAAAAATCCAAAAATCGACAGTTATTGATTTTTTCAATTTAATAGTTATTTTTTAGTTTATTTGTGTGTGTAAAATACCTATAATGCCCTTGTACTGCAGATTTGAAAGAGAAAAATTAGATCTGCCAAAAAACCAAATCATATTCATTTTCTCCTTTCTCGCTGGTGCTTTTTCGATGTTGGAGCAAGAGGAGCTTCCATTAATTCTCAGTCTTAGGTCCAACTATATTCTTCATCTCTGCTATACAATTTTCAATATTTCACCTTCGATTTCTTATTCTAAAATCGTGTTTCTATTCATAATTTTTTTTTTTCTTCAGATTGTTCGGAACCTTGAATGAACCTCGATTAGATGCTCCTAGCTCTACTCCTCATCTTCGAGCTCTACTCCTCTTTCGCCACATTGTTGTCGTTGTCGTTGTTGTTGTTGTTGTCATCGTTGTCGTTGTTGTTGTTGTTGTCATCGTCATCGTTGTCGTCGTCGTCGTCGTTTGGTTTGGCCTTGAGATTTTTGATCTTTTTGCTTCAATTATGTGTTTCTCTTCGGATTTTAGTTGATTTTCGGAATATATTTTAAGCTTTGTTGATTGATTTATCTTTTGTTACTATTTCAGTTATGGATCTCATTTTTGTTTAACAATGTACCTCTATGACAGAGTATTAAAAATGTACTTCTATGACAGAGTATTGTCACGTCCCGGACCCGGGGGTAGGTGGAAATCCCGCGCCTGGTGCGTGAGAAAATAAATAAAATAAAATAAAATGAAAAGAAAACCGAAATAGGGTTTGAAATAAACTTCTCTTATAAAAATAGCTCCATAATTACAACTTTACAAGAAATAAACAAACAAAGCTCTAACACTCTCATCTAATTTAGCCTCAACTGGTTTAGTCCTTTTCTTGCCCACTAACTCATCTGAAAAGTTAAACAGGGTGAGGGATGAGCATCCACAGCTCAGTAGGAACATGAGACCTTACCACAGTAGATTGATATAACTAAATTAAGTGACATGCAATCACACAGCCAAATATCACATTAATAATATTAATGTATGAATGCTCTTCATCTAATCCCGTTAATTCATATAACTGGACAAGCAGACCTGCACGTCCCATACCATGCTTATACCACTTGGTCCCGAATGCCCATTTATATGAATTAACACCCATTTCAATCATCCCATTATTCCCCTTTTGTTAGTCATCTTGTCTAACTCCCTTTCGCCAGTCCCGAATCACCCAATAAAAAATCATGTGCACTGTGGGATCCCTGAGACCTGGTACCTGCCAAGAGTTAGACTCAACTACACAAAAGACTATATCCATTACCCTCTTTTCCATTATTATCTTCTCCACCCAACAACTCCAACCAATTACCATGACATGATATAATTATGCCAACATTATTCAAATAGTTCACAATACATAAATATCTCATATCTATACAATATCACACATAATATAGAGCTCACGAAATTTAATTAAATCAATCTTTTCTCTGTTTCTCGTTTTGTTATTGACAACATAAGGGAGAGGCCTTATTTATACTCTTACAAAACTTGGGCATGAAGTAAGAATAGATATAAGGATAAGCTTAATGAATAAGGATAAATACGAATATAGGAAGATAAAATCAAAATATTAATTAACTAACTTCTTACAGGAGCTATTAAAACATACAAGCTTTGAGCTTTGAAACAATGACACATATATTGGTGACAAGGATGAAATATGCAAGTGCCACACGTCCACTCTACCTTAAGATGATTAAAACTCATATATATATAAAAATTACTATGTCAATCCTCTTGTCCAAGTTAACTTGCTCAGAAAGATAAAAAGAGATTTGTTTTAGCTATTCACAAGATGTGAATAACACAATTCTAATAATTGAATATTATTATAAATATATACGATTATATAAGTTAAATACCCAAGAAATATCTAAGAATTTAGAGAAAAACAAATAATATAATTTATTCAAATGAACTTATGTATATATATATTTACTAAGTACAAATAATTATTAAAATAGCATTGTAAACGTAAAACAATACATATATATATATATATAAATATATATATAAACGTTTAATTTTCTTTAAAAACTTTTAAGAATATGGATTCTCACAAGTATTAACAATGTACTTCTATGACATAGTAGTATTAACAATTTAGGCTCGGCTTGTTTTTAATACTTTGAGAATTTTTTAATAATAAATTGTTTGGGTTTTTAAAAAAAATCTAGGCTCGGCTTGTTTTAAGTTGGTCTGGTTTGTTCTTTCTTCATCCTTTCTTTAGTAGACATGTATTAGAAATAGCAATATGGCAGGCATTAATCAACATGACAGTAAACTAGCAGTGTTATTACCCTAGATTGGAACATTACAGGGATAGACATGCATTAGAAATAAGATGTTATAGGAAACTAGCAGTGTTAGTACCCTACACTGGAACATTACAGGGGTAAACATGCATTAGAAATAGGATGTCATAGGGAACTAGCAGTGTTATTACCATAGATTGGAAGATTACAGCCATTAATTAACATGACAGTAAGGTGTGGAACATTACAGCCATTAATCAACATTACGCATTAATGAAGCTACGATTTTTGAGACATTTTGTTTGTAATGAATTGTTTGGGTATTTTTATAAAATTTGGCTGGGCTTGTTTTGGTTGCTTTTTAAGTTTTTTGTGGGCTTCTTTTAAGTTGATCAGTGGCAGTCATGTAATTTATAGGAACTCCAGCACCAATTTCTTATGTAGTAAATGAGTTTTGGGTGTGTTTCTAAAGTGCATTTCATGTGAGGTTTATTTTTATATTTGTTTAATAATAATTTCAGCCCTTATTTTGGGTAAATTAAGCTCCCAAGAAAAATCAAAGCTAGCACTATGTTAGCTAGAGGTGTGAAAGCATTTAATGACATCGGGATGATACTTGACTTGTGGAGGTTGTTAGCTTGTGTGAAAGCAATAAATGTTGGAGGTGTGAACACAAGAAATATTGGTTTGTGTGTTGGACTTGTGGAGGTTGCTGCTGCAAGTTATGGCTGACTTATTAGGCTGGGAGGAAAATTTGTGTAATTAATAGCTTGGAGGATACGGTTGCGGAGACAGTCTAAATATTAGGGGGCCAATAGCTGAAAAAGATATGAAAGTACATATTGATTTCCAAGTTTTATTTAAAAACTTCAATGGAATTCATGAGAATTGGGGGGCCACAGCCACCTCTGGCCTGTGTGTGGCTCCGGTTCCTCCTTGTATAAATGTGCTAAGTTGTAATACAAAGTGAAAGGAAAAGTTGAAAACCAGAAAGCTCATTCTCTCATACACTCAAATTTCTCATATTTTATCACACTATACCATCTTCTTCTATGTTTCTACTGAGTGTGTTCAAAGCCAGATTTTGAGGAACCGTCTTTTCCAATGGCCTTGAGCACCCAAAGAGCCTCTGCATCTCTTTCGGTTGAATCGGCTCCTCCTCTATGGAAACATGATGTTTTTCTGAGTTTCAGGGGTGCAGACACTCGCAGGGGTTTTATGTCTCATTTAGACCACGAACTGCGGTACCGGCAAACAATAAAAACTTTCAAGGACGACCGAGACCTTGTAATAGGAGCAACTATTTCTGCGGAGCTCTTGACCGCAATCAAAGAATCACATCTTGCCATCATTGTTCTCTCCCCAAATTACACTTCTTCCCCTTGGTGCTTGGATGAACTCTCAAAGATTCTTGAATGCATGGAAGACACCAATAGAATTCTGCCAATCTTTTATGACGTGGATCCTTCCGATGTACGGAACCAAAAGGGGAGCTTTGCGGAAGCCTTCACTAAGCATGAAGAAAGGTTTAGTGAAGAAGCAGAGAAGGTGAAGCGGTGGAGAGCTGCTTTAAGAAAAGTTGCCAATCTCTCTGGCTTAGATTCAAAGAATTATAAGTAAGCATGCATGCATGAACAGCTAATTTCTTGTGTCTTAACAAGAATCTTACTTGGATTTTACGTTTCAGTTCTTGCTTTAATGCAACAACCTTGGATGTTGTATTTATGGAATAATGGTTATTTTAATTTTCTTACTTTGTATATAGGTGGGAAGCAGATCTTATCAAAGACACTGTCAAACGTGTGTGGAAGAAAGTGAATCCTACATTGACGTTGTTAGATTCCCAAGAGAGATTGGTTGGAATTGATTTTGCACTTGATCAACTCCGCTTGCAATTAGATCTCGAGGCAAATGAGGTTCGCTTTATAGGGATATGGGGAATGGGCGGGATAGGCAAAACAACCCTTGCTAACCTTGTGTTTCAGAAAATTTCCCATCATTTTGAACTTAAATGTTTTCTATCGAATGTGAGAAAGAGGGAGGTTTCTGATCTACATAGACAACTTCTTTCCCAAATCTTGGACCAAAGTATTAATCATGTTTGTGATGAAAGGGAGGGAACCGTTTTCATTAATAAAGTTTTAAGGAATAAAAAGGTTCTTCTTGTACTTGATGATGTGGATCAATTACACCAACTAGAAATACTGGCTAGAGATAAAATTTTGTTTGGTGTGGGAAGTAGAATTATCATCACAACTAGAGATAAACGTCTACTTGTTCAGCATGGTACAACAACCTATAAGGTAGATGTATTAAAGGATGATGACGCTCTTGAGCTCTTTTGGCGACATGCCTTTAAGAAAGATCAGCCTGAGGAAGGTTTTCAGGACCTGTCTCAGCATTTCCTATATTATGCTAAAGGCCTTCCATTAGCTCTTAAAACTTTGGGGCGTGCTTTGTATGGGAGAGATCAAGATGTGTGGAAGAGTGCGTTGTATAATCTAAACAAAATTCCTGAACCCGAAATTTTTGATTCACTTAGAGTAAGTTATTATGGATTAAAAGAGATGGAGAAGAAAATTTTTCTGCATGTTGCGTGTCTCCATAGAGGGAAGAATAAAGAGCAAGTTATTCAAATACTAGACTGGAGCCTTAACATTTCCAGTCTTATTGAGATAGATATTCTTATTGAGAAATCTCTCTTAACTATTGAGAAACTCCACTTTTGTAGCAACGTTGTTGAGATGCATGATTTGATACAAGAAATGGCATGGAAAATTGTTTGTGAAGAGTCTCCCGAGCCTGGTAAACGCAGTCTTTTGTGGCATCACAATGACATTTCTCATGTATTCATGAACAATACGGTAAGAAACTCTGTAGAAATACTATGGTTGAAAGAAATTATATACCATTTCTAAATTAACTTCCTTTTTCTAAAATATTATATGTTAGGGTACGGAAGCAATTGAAGGTATAGTCGTACGTCTGCCCCAATTACAAGAGGTGCACTGGAATTGTGTTGAAGCCTTCTCTAAGATGCTCAGATTAACTGTTCTTGAATTCGATAATATTGTAATTTCTTTGGCTCCTAAAGATCTTCCAAATTCCTTAATAATTATCCGTTGGAGTTGGTATCCTTCCAAGTCCCTCCCGCCAAGTTTTGAACCACGTTTCCTCATTAAACTTGAGATGCTTCATAGCAAACTTGTCCGGCTTTGGGATGGAGAAAAGGTAAGATTATTGAAATATGACATGTTGTAATTTCTTTCCTTTATAAATATTTTGAGTATGGCTGTACCATAAGTTGTAAGGTTTTTGGAAACTTTTAATTCTACAACTTTTATGTCCTGTACAGGATTTCCCCAAGTTGAAATACATGGATCTTAGTTACTCTGAAAAATTGACGAGTATCCCAGATTTCAAAGGCATTCCGAATCTTGAGGAATTGAATCTGGTTGGTTGTACGAATTTAGTTGGGGTTCACTTGTCTATTGCAGTTCACAAAAAGCTAAAAGTTTTAAGACTCAGGGACTCTAAAAGTATTAAGAGTCTCCCAAGTGAGTTGAAAATGGATTCTCTCGAATCATTGAGTCTTTGGGGCTGCTCAAAAGTGAAAAAGATTCCAGAATTTGGGAAACAGATGACAAAATTGTTTCAGCTTATTTTATGCGAGACTGCTATTGAGCAAATACCTTCATCAATTGAACATCTAGTTGGCCTTGTTGAATTGCATTTAAGTGATTGCAAAAGACTCTTGGGTCTACCGAGTGCGATATGCAATTTGAAGTCTCTTAAAATCCTCTGGGCTCTAAGTTGCTCAAAACTTGACAAACTGCCAGGGGACATGGAGTCTTTAGAGGAGCTTTATTTAGACGGAAGTGCTATGAGAGAGCCGCTTGTTGTTATGAAAAACCTCAAACATCTAAACTTTCGTGGATCATCAAGGGATGGTATTGGCATTGGCACTGGGTGGGGCCTTGACCGTTTATTTGGAAATAGAAAGAGTCATCCTGACCCTAAACCTGACCCCTGGGGTTTGGTGTTGTCTTCTCTAAATCATTTATGCTCTTTGACTGAATTAGATCTCAGTGACTGTAATATTGGTGAAGGTGCCATCCCCGATAATATTGGCTACTTCTCTTCTTTAGAATATTTACAACTTAATGGAAACAATTTCGTCAGCCTTCCCGCGAGCATTAGATTCCTTTCTAAGCTTGAGTGTCTTCAATTGAGTAGGTGCAAAAGGCTTGAGCAATTGCCAGATCTTCCGTCAAGTAGATCCTTATACGTACATGTAAACAATTGTGCTGCCTTAAAAAGGTTGTCTGATCCATCTAAGCTGAGCGAAGGAGCCAATGTGTATGATTTTAGGTTTAGTTGTCATAATTGCTTCAGATTGGTTGAAGAAGAAGGCTGGATTAATAGAATATTTGCAATGATAATGAGATTGGTCGCTCGGGTACTCTCTCTCTCTCGTTTTTTTTTGGATAGAGTTTCTTTTGCAATAGTAAATATAATGGGAATTGTTTTCGTACAGGAATTATTTTCAATGTGGACTGGTGACTTAATTGTATGGCCTGGAAGTGAAATTCCAGATTGGTTCGATAATCGAAGTGTGGGAGATTCAATAACTATGGAGCTGCCTCTACCTCCACAACCATGTAGCGACTGGATTGGGATTGCCTTATGTGTTGTTTTTCAAGATTCTGAATATTTGCAAAATCCAGCCTCGGTTGTTGGATTTGACTATTTCCAAATTCAGTATTTATGGGGTCTATATGAGACTTTTAAAGTCGGACATCTTGAGTCACAACACCTTTGGGTTTTTTATTTGCCTTGCGATGATCCCAGCCTCACCGACGCCTCAACCAGTCATCGGTTTTCATTCGAAGCACATTATTGTGCATACGGATCTTGCAACAGACTCAAAACAAGCTCGATTATAAAGGAATGTGGGGCTCGTTTGGTGTACGAGAGGGATTTGGAAGAATTCAACCGAATACTCAAAATCCCTGAGAGAAACCAGTTCTGGCGAAAAAGGTTTTTTGTTGATACAAAAATTTGCAGTTTGTCGCCAGAGCTAAGTTTTCCTGTAGTGGCAGCCCCAATTGGTCCTAATGGAAATGGTAGCTCTGATGACGACAATGAACCAGGAATTGGTAGCTCTGATGATGACGATGAACCAATCAGCAAAAGATACAAGAAAGTCTAAATTATTTTGTGCTTGGTTCAATCATTCATTGAGGTAGGAAGAGAGCTGTTCTCTTATTACATTTCGGTTATATACTTTTCCATTTCCAAAAACATATATGCAGGATAATATTGTTGGGTTATGAATCCTCTTACTTACTCAGTCGAGCTTAAGTAACAGAATCTTTTTCAACTCTAATCACCATATGTGGCAACTGAGGTGGACATGAACATCAATTGACTCCTGTGCCATCAAACTGTCTGATATAATTAATGAAAACTGTTAATGTTAAAAAATTAAAAGGCAATTAGATTTTAATCGTTTCATAAGTTGTTTGTAAATAACTTGTTTAATTATTGATGAGGAGAAACAAGCAATGTATTTGTGGGATTCTCAAAGTTTCAAATTTGATTGCATCATAATATCTCTGTTTTTAGATCTTATATTAGGTAGGAGGGGAGAGAGTAATTCTCTTGTTAACATCTTGTTTATATAGTTTGCAGGATATGCTGTAATTTTGTGTTTCTCTAACGGCCTGGCTGGTTCTTACCGTCCAACTAGTGCTACTATTTAAATTGCTGTGTCAGGTTTTATTGTTCTCAGAATGAAATGGACCTAGTCACCTGGTGCTATTCTGAGTCTTCTGACCAAAAGAAAAAAGGGGAAAATAATTAATAATGACGAAAGAATGTGTGTGAAAAAGCTAGGAGAAAAGGATGAAAGAATAAGAGGCAGGAGAGAATTGTAATTATTGTAAGTGTATTTCTTCTGTTTCCACTATATTGAAGTGAGTCTAGTATTTCTTATTATATACAGCTTCTGTACATTTCTCTATAGCTAAGGTTATTTACAAGGAATATGGACAAGTGTAGGCCTGATATTGAATCAGCCGTTTTCCTTAAGAGTTTCTAAAGGAATGTGAGTGAAGGAAATTTGCTGCTTGATTTTGATTGCTCATTGCTGCTTTACAATTATAGCTGCTTTTGGGATTTTACAGCGGACATGTAAATTAGCATCTTCGCTGTTATTTAAATTTAATTCGATATAAAATCAGGAAAGGAAAGGAGAGGTGGTTAGTTCGTAAGGGAAGAGAGAATAGCAGAGAAGAAGGAGAGGCAAAAGGAACTGTGAGTTAGCTTTACAACAAAATTAGCAGAAGTGGAGCAATTAACATAATTAGATTTTGGAAGGTGCTGGACATAGCCTAATGGGTTTAAGCAAAATCAGCTTATTTTCATTGCTATCTTCCTTTCTTAACTTCGTTTCAGTTCTCTGGAAAAACAGTTGGCATTATTGGCTTGGGAAGAATTGGCAAAGCCAGAGTTGAACTAAGCCTGGATATAGCTACCTCAACCAATGTGTTAATTAGCATGGATAGTTTCTCAAGTGTATGCTATAGTTTTAACATGTGCTCTGCTTCCAGGACATCATTTTTCCTTCTGCACTTACCTCTTGTATTGGTGTTTTCCTAAATTGTTTGTCCTTTTACTACGTTCGAGATATATTCTGATTCTGAGTGGATGGTCCTTGCTTTTTATTTATTTATTTATGACTTAAATTAACTTGTTAATTTCAATGTGTTAGAACATTTACTTCATATAGCCCTCGAGTAAAATAAAATTTCCAGAGCAACCTTTCTATGCTGTATTAAAAATGTTAGTATAATTCTGAGACTTCTGACCCAGAAAAAGGAAAATAAAATTCTTAGCAAAATGAAAGAATGTGTGAAGGCTACTAATGAGAATAATTAGGCTAATGAAGAATACAAGAATAATATATGTATCTACACTTTAGGCATACCGAGAAGGTTAGAAATAAGATTTATTTGCTACTTTAATTCTAGACAGAAAATTTGAGCAAAGAATTTGTGTTTCATAAGTGAAAATATGGATTTCGTGTTTGGTAAGTAAAAATATAGAATTCGTGTATCAATGTATAGGATTATACCTGCTTTTGGTTGCAGCAGGCAAGAAAATGAGAATGGTTGCTGTTTTTTAAATTTATTTCAATATAAAATCAGAAAGGATGGTTAATTCTCAAGAGAAGAGAGAATAACAGAGAGGAAGGAGAGGCAAAAGAAACTGTGCTTTTTGGCTTTACAAACAAAAATGAGCAGAAGTGGAGCAATTAAGATGATTAGATTTTGAAAAGTGAGCATCTCTCAAAAACTGCAGGAAACTACACATAACCTGATGTGGTTGATAAGAATCAGTTATTTATTGGTTCATGTTATATCTTTTGTGATGGTTTTCCTTTCTTAATTTTTTCTATTCTCTGGAAAAACAGTTGGCATCATCGGCTTGGGAAGAATTGGCAAAGCCAGACATACTACAAATACTATTCAATTGTTGGCCTCAAACCGTGGCATTTTGGTGGTTGCTTGAATCTCTGATCAGTGCTAAAGAGACCAACAACATTGTCAATTTTGAAGTCATGGATGCTTTGGGTCCAAAGGGTGCTCTCATTAACATTGGAAGAGGCCCTCCTGTTGATAAACGCGAGTATGTGCACTGCTGGATGGCCAGTTAGGTGTGGCTGACCTCGATAGTTATGAGAATGAACCAACCGCAAGTTCCTGTTCAGCATTGTGGTTTGATTAATATTTTATTACTGTGGAAGAATTGATTTGTTTCATTCGGTTTTGTAAGTAATGGAAGCTCGTTATAGTCCAGAAATGGCAATATTTTCTCTGTTTCAATTTCCAGAGGTCTCTTCTACAAAACAGAACAAATTCTGTAAAATAGTGTGCATTATTACTGAATTTGAGAATATGTAAGTCCTATTTTGGTGCTGTGCAAGGTAGGAAGGGACAATTATCATGCTCTCTATGTCTATGATTCAATATATCTTCATATAGGAATTGGATCACAATTGTTTCAAATGCTATTTCGGTTTCATGTTCATACGAAAACAGAATGCTCATATCAATCTTACAGTTCTGATTTTAACTCGGACAAACTTTCTTTTAATTGAAGGCTATGGTGATGAAATCAGGTGAAAATAGAAGGTGCTCAGGTTGTAGAAAAACAGTGTTGCCTTGTTCTGCAAGGCTGGTGGATGGAGAACATATCAGCATAAAAGCTTTCTGGCCTCCCCTTTGTTATCTCTGCAAGTGAAAAGCTTGTTGGAACTCCTCTACAAGTTTGGCCTTCTCTTCTGGCAATGACCTTTCTCTTCTAAATCATTAAATAAATAACCAAAAAAAAAAAAAGCAATTATAGAGAAGACAAATGTAGCTAAACCTCCCAATCCAAGATCCATCTCCATATCACTGCATGAATTCCGCGCAGTTGTGTTTGTCGGAGGTTTTAGCTACGCTGATGAACTTGATTCTGCAAAATTTTGGTCTGCTTCCATTCGATTTAATCTGCCCCTTCTAAATCTATTTCAGGAGTTTTACAAGCGACCAGACACTTTTAGCCTTGGTGTTTGCAATGACTGTCAGCTTATGGCCCTTTTGGGGTGGGTTACGGGTCCTCAAGTTGGTGGAGTGTTAGGTGGTGGTGGGTACCCTTCACAACCCTGGTTCATTCACAACAAGTCGAGATGGTTTGAATGCCGATTCACCAGTATTAGAATAAAGGACTCGCTGGCCATAATGTTTAAAGGAATGGAGGGAACTACATTGCGTGTGTCGCTGCCCATGGTGAGGGAAAAAGCAATATTTCCTTGATGACAAGGTTCTTGTGGGAACACATATTTCACCGGCCAATAAGAAGACGACATGTGGACAAGGAATATTTCTTAGGTCAACTAATTACCCTAATTAAATTCTATTTAATTAGGAAAATTATCTTTGATTTAATAGAGAAATATCTCCCTAAATCAAGGAACCAATTTCCACCAAATCTCTTGGATTAACCCCTATCATCTTTTTGGGAAAGAATAATTCTAACCAAATAAGGATTATTCTCCCAAAACCCTAGCATATAAGGAGCACTATAAATACATTCAAGGTAACTCTTTCTAACTCGAAAAAACCCTAGTTAATTGTTGTCAAAACTCTCTCACTCTCTCTTTGCCGCACCCTATCCATCTCTCTTACATAGCTCCGCCCACC